CAGCCATGCCTGTCCCAGTCCTGGTTCTCAGGCTTACCAGTTAGAGTGGCAACCCAAAAGGGAGGTGCCCACTGTTTCCCTAAAGGGCTCACTCTAACTCCTGGATCTTGTACTCTCCAGGTGGTACTGCAATTTAGCTCAACAGAGCTTGGAACAGGGCCATTTTTGTTACTGGTAAGCAGGCACAAAATAGAAGTGAAAAGTCTTGGCTTCCTACTTAATCTGTGACATCACCATAGATGGAATGTTAGGTTATCTCATTAATCTTATCTCAGGCTGGAAGCACAGTCCCCACATCTTAATGGGGTCACATTACGACTGCTGCTACTACTACCACAACTGTTACTATTATAGTATCTGGCTGGCGTAGGCACTTAATGTCTAGAGATTTTATGGCTTAACAAGGTTTCTTTTTCCTGGCTCTTTGGTTATAGGAAGTAGGCTTCCACTGGCTTTTGTGTGTGCACTTGCTGGTGTTTGTAACTTCATGGCTACTTCAAGTCTAACTAGTATATAAACACAGAAACAGAATCACCATGGAAGTACACTCTCCCCAAGTCTATGTCCCCAGAGAGCAGGTCTTCTCTGTACTTTTCAGAGTCTTCTTATGTTTGTTTTATCTGTGAATCTTTGAGTCATTATAAAACAAGTATATCATTTAAAAATTTGAAATCATTGACATATTTTAATGATGCTACCATTCATTCTTCACGCAAGCACAAAAATGTTAATGGCAAAAAAGGAATCAAAGACTGTTCTTTAACTACACTGAAGATGTTTTCCTTTTGTCAGTGAGCCTCACTGCTCTGGTCAACCTGGTTGTGTCATGGAATAACATTATGAAATACATTACAAGTTGAGAATGTTATTTAGAAGTGTTCATTATTTTCATTTCATTTAAAAGGCAGAGGGAGACAGATAAGAGACACATTCTATCTACTGTTTCACTTTCCAAATGTCACAATAATCAGAGCTGAGCCAAACCTAAGTTACAAGCTGAAATCTTACACTGGTCTCCCACATGCATGGCATGCATATAAGCATTTTAGCCTTGAGCTCCTGCCTCCCAGGATGTACAACAGTAGTATACTAGACTGGAAACCAAAGACTGTGGACTTGACCAGGCATATGGGTTGCAGAGATTCAAACACAGATAGTATCATTGCTTCAAATGGTCACATATAAATTACTACCTGAACACTGACTTACAGGCTTTCATTTTGTTTTTCTGCTAGTACTAGGTAAAATATATAAAAGAATCATGAAAAAGATCAGCACTGTTAATATTTCACTTTCCTTTATTCTGTTGATATAAGAACAAAGATATAACTACGCATATGTACATACAATCATTATTAAATATTTTGATATCACATGTATTTCCATGCACTCAGAACATAAGCTTCCACCAAGATTACCAATTATTTGAAAAACAATCTTTAATAATTGCATCTTTTTATCTAGTGATTTTTTCTTTTACTAAACTATGATCCCATGGTTTTCTTCTACTGAATAAATAATGCATGGATAATCCTCTTTCCAGTTAATTCCTTACCTACAGTTCTAATTCTTTCCTTAGGATATATTACTAGAAATTAAATTACTGGGTGAAAATGTTTGATAATTTAAGGGTACTGTCATGGGCTAAATTATACAGGGGCACTTCAAAAAGTTCACACAAAACAGGATTAAAGGTTTATTTGGGTAAAAAAAAATCATAATCCATGCAAAATGTTTCATAATATGCATTTTTGGGATATTTCTGACAACTTTTCACATGCATATATTTCAATTTTTTTACAAACTTTCTGAAATTCCTTTATATTTTCTCAAAATTCATATACTGATGTCTTAACTGCTAACTACCCCTAACTCAAGATACGACTCTATTTGAATAATGTCATTAAAGAAGTAACTGATGCTCTTAAAAGAATAAATTTAGTGACCAAGATGTAGTTCGGCAATTGAGAGGCAGCCTGGAATCTGCACATCACATGTCAGAGGGCGGGTTCATGGATCCCAGTTTCCCATCCTTTCACTGACATTCCTACTAATGTGCACCCTGGAAGGCACTATTGACTGCACAAGTGCATTTGTCTCTAACAGTTATGTGGAAACCTAGCAGGAATTCCTGGTTTCTTGTTTTAGCCTGTGAGACCTGAGTGCTGGAAGCATTCAAGACATGAGTCTAAGAACAGAAGATTTGTCTGTCAGTCTGCATTTTAAATAACAAAGAAAAAGTTATATGAAAGGAACATATCTCAATGCAATAAAGGCAATTATTACAAAGTCATATGGTTTGGAATTTTAGCCAAAGCCATTAGGATAGAAAAAAGGATATAAATTAGAAGGAAAAAGTCAAATCACCCTTGTTTGCAGACCCTTTTTAAGGGACAGAAGAATTACTTCACAAAGAAACTACTAGGATTACTAAGAAAATTCAGCAAAGTTGCAGCATATAAAATCAACATACAAAAATAAATAACATTTCTATACAACAGTAATGTCTGGTGGACAAAACTTACACAACCAGTCTCACTCACAATAACTACAAAAAAAATCTAAATTTTTGGATAAAATTATCCAGGGTTGTAAAAAAGCTCTATAATGAAAATTGTGAAATGTCAGTGAAAGAAAAAGATAATAACCAAAAATGGAAAAAAATATGTCATGTTTATGGACTGCAAAAAGGTCCACATTAGCCAAAACAAATTAGAGCCTAAATGCAACCCCAGAAATTTTCCAATGACATTTTTCATAGAACTAGAAAAAGAATCCTTAAGTTTGGATGGAAACACAAGAGACCACGAAAAGCCAAAGCAATATTAAAACAATAAAAATAAAGTTAGAACCATCACAATACCAGATTTGAAGATATACTATAAGGTTATTATCATCAAAACAAATTGGAACTGGCATGAAACAGACAGACTTAACAACAGAACAGAACAGAAACCCCATAAAGTAACTCACCCATCTACAATAAAATAATCTTTGACCAAATGAACTAAAATCTTTCCCCGCAGAAAATACAGTTATCTTCAGCAAACGGTGTTTGGAGATAAATTTTCTACATAAGGAAGTTTAACACAACACTCCTGTCACATACCCTATACAAAAATAAACTCACAATGAATTTGGGATCTAAATGTAAGAACTGAAACCATCAAATTACCAGAAGAAAACATGATGGAAACAATGAAAGATGTTATGCTAAGCAAAGACTTCTTGGAAGTCTCCGGAAGCTCCAGCAAAAGAGCAAAAGTCAACAAATGAGATGACATCAAACAAGCTTCTGCACAACAAAGGAAACAGTGAAGTGAAAGGTAACTGACAAGATGGGGGAGGGAGGAATATGTGTAAGCTATGCATCCAATAAAGGATTAATATTACAAATGCATAGTAAGCACAAGAGACTGAACAACAAAACAAATAACTCAGTTAAGAAATGGGCAAAGGAAATAAACAGACAATTTTCAGTATATGCTACACAAATGACCAATAGGCACATGAAATAATGCTTAGGATTCCTAGTAAACAGGGAACCACAAATAAAAACGAATGTAATATATCATATCACTCCAGTTAGAATGGCTTTTATCCAAAATTTTTAAAAATAACAAAGGTGATGGGTTGTTGAGAAAAAGGGACCCTAACACATGATTAGAACTAAATGTAAATTGGTCTAATTTTAAAGAAAAATAGTATGGAGACTCTTCAAAATCTGAAAAAAAAAAAAAGATTTACCACAGGACCCAGCTATCCCACTCCTGGGGATAAATGCAAAAAAAAGAGAGAGAGAAATCAGTAAATGGAACATGTTTGTACCAACTCAATTCACAATAGCAAAGTCATGGAATCAAACAGAGGTCCAGTAGCTGACGACTACGGAAAATGCGGCATATATACACAACACACCATTACACAGCAATAAAAACAATGAAATCTTGACACATCTGTGGAATGGAGGCAACTGGCAATCATTATGCTGTGAAAAAGCCAGACACAAAATGATATCACAGTTTCTCTTACTGTGGGAGTTAACATATACAGAATATAAAAATCAAGTGGCTATTGTATCACTAGGTATTCAGTTATAATGCTGCTTCACTGAATCATGTCATGTAAGTCATAACAGATTCTGTTTTTCCACATTTTGACTATTTGTTACAAATCCCTCACTCCTTGATATTAATCTGTCTTCAAGGAAATAATAGGATACAATGTGTATACATAAATAAATGTGACAAAATGCTAAGAAGTATAAAACCATAACTTTTAAAAATGCGAGAGTAAAAAATTATACAGAAATAAAATTATAATATGATCCTTTCTATTATAAAAATAAGGTTTTCTTGGAACACTAGCTACTTCTAATACTGACAGGAATTTATTTACTTTTAGGTTTAAGTTACATTTTATCAAAATAATTTCATGTACTGCATGTTGTCTTTATTAAGATTTTTGCTTAGAAAAGACAGAGTCACCTGTTAAAAATGTTAAAGGTTTTTTCTCTTTAACTATGTAGCCTTCTGTATTTGCCTTTAAAAGTTTGGGGTATGTTGGTTGAATAGATTACTGCTATTTCACAGTGAAATTTTCTTTAAAAAATAAAAAAGTTAGAAACAAGAAAACAAAGCAATCATGATAAAAAAAAAAAAGCCTACAGAACATTAAAAAAAATTGATTCAGGCACATAATATGGCAAAACCACATGGGAGAATGTTCTGCCTTTACACCAGTGAGGGAATTCTTATGAGAAGTCAGCCATGTTCACACACCGATCTCAGAGTACTCCCGTCCAGAACTGTGAAAACCAAGCTTCTGATGTGCGAGCGTCCTGACTGCAGTATTTTGGTATAACAGTCATTGCAAACAAACACAAATACTAATGATTGGTGTTAGGTACTGCCAGATTGCTTTTTTAAAACTTTGTGCCAATATGCAATATGTGGAATGATATCATATCATACATGAAACCATGTATTGGTGGTACTTACAAAGCAGTTCTTATCAGGATTTCTTTTCCAATGTTTCTTGTCTAATTTCTTGTCCGAAGTTGAACGCAGGGTGGCATGAGTTTGTTTTCGAGGATTTAAGGCCAGGATGCTCTGAATATAGAGAATAAACGATGAGTAAGCATATGTATGCCGCGATTTTAAAAATCTAAATTTTATGGAATATCTTTTCTCTCTCTGTCTCAGAATTCTTTCTCTGTGTCACACAAATACACACACATATTCACACAAACAAATGATCCTAAAGACTGAAGTCTTACAGTATACAAGAGATCACATGTGATTTAATATAATGAGAATGAAAGTTACCAAGATTAGGAAAACTAACGGATTCAGTATTTGGTGTAGCAATTAAAATGCAATTTAAATGCTCACATCTCATTATCTGAGTGTGTAAGTTCAAGTACGGACTTCACTTTGAATCCAGATTCTTTCTAAACTGCAACATGAAAGGCAGTGAAGGATGGTGAAATTTGGGCCCTTGCCACCAATGTGTAAGATTCTCAATTTCTCAATTGAGATTTCTCAATTGAGATTTCTCAAATTCTCAATTTCTGGCTCCAGGTCTTGGACCAGCACAACCCTGTTGCAGGCATTTTGGGGAACCAACCAGTAAACTTAAGAAGGACATCTTGATCTTGATTTTTTTTCTCTTTCTACCTTTGAAACTAAAAAAAAGAAGGAAAATGAGAACTTCCATTTTTGAATGTGACAATGATGGCAGCTAGAGGATCAAATTTCAAAACCTACTACAAGGCATCAATCATCAAAATAATCTGTCACTGAAACCAAAAATCGACATGAAGGCCAAGTTAATATAATAGAAATCCCAGAAATTAATTGATACAACCAACTGAGATTTGGAAATTAGGTTAAAATCAATCCCTGGAAAAAGAATTATTTCTTCAAAAAATAGTGCTAGCAAAATTGAATCCAGAAATGCAGAAATTTTAAACAAGATTCCTACTTTACACCTTATATTAAAAATCAACTCAAAATGGGTCAAGGTTCTAAATTTATGACATGCTACATTCAGAATAGAGGAAAATGTTGGAGAAACACAGCAAAACAGCGAATATGCAAAGACTCCCTAGAAAAAATCCAAGAAGCACAAGGCAATATAAGCAAAAATTGACAAACGAAATTATATCAAAATACACTCAAGAAAGTGAAGAGGCAACCAACACAATGGGAAAATGTTAACAAATTGTGTAACTAATAAAGAATTAATATACAAAAATCCATAAGGAGCTCAAAAAACTCTATAACAAAACAAAAATCCACTAAAGAACTAGGCAAAGGACATGAAGAGGTAGTCTTCAAATAATTACTCAAATGCCCATCATACACAAGAAAAAAGGCTCAGACATCTAGCTATCAAGGAAATGTAAATAAAATTACAATATGGTTTTACCTCACTCCTGTTGGAATGGCCATCATCCAAAAATCCAAAAAACAATAAATATTGGAGAAGATGTGGGAAAACAGTGTCCTAATTTACTTTTAGTGGGAATGTCAATTAGAGCATCAATACAAAAACCAGTAAGGAGTTTCCTCAGATATCTGATAATAGATCTAATATTTAACCTCAGCCATCCCAGTTCTTGGAATTTCCACAAAAGAAATGGAATCAGAATAAGAGTTATTCATAACCATATGATTATTGCAGGTCAATTCACTATACCTAAGGTGTAATCAAAGTGATATCTATCACCTGATGGCCAAAGAAAACCTATAATATACACATGATAGAACACTATTAGCTATAAAAAAGAAAAATTCTATGGTAACATAGCAGTTGAACCATTACGCCTTGTGAAATAAACAAGTGTCAAAACACAAACATCATGCTTTCTCTGATGTGGCAGTTAACATAGAATACGAAAAAAAAAAGCATATGAGCAAACAGGCACTTTGTGCAATTATTGTTGTTTTTAACCCATTTTATACTCCTGTGAAATTGCTTTCTTCCATTTTTTTTTTTTTTTTTTTACTTCTTGATGGTTAGTGATGAATTAAACCTGTGATTAAAGAGGGGTTGGGAATTATCTTTTTACAGAAATTTTTTAAAAAAAAGAAGGATTGAGGGAGGAAAATGATGAGGGATTTAAGTCTTACTATCATCTTAGACCTGCATCTATCAAATATATGAAATATATTCTTTATAGTAATAAAAAATTCCACTAAATTCTACACTTTGTAGATTAAGCTATGACTTTTTAAAGATTTATATATTTATTTGTTTATTTATCGTAAAGTCAGATATTCAGAGAGGTGAAACAGAGAGAAAGACCTTTCGTCCAATGATTCACTCCCAGGTGCTCCCAACAGCCACAGCTGAGCCAAACCAAAGCCATGAGTGAGGAGCCTCTTCCAAGTCTTCTACCCAAGTGCATGGTCCCAAGGCTTTGGGCCATCCTTGACTGCTTTTCCAGGTCACAAGCAGAGAGCTGGATGGGGCGAGGCGAGGACTCTGCTAGGCTACTGCGCCTGGCCCATGCTGTATTGACTTTACAAGCATCAATAGTCCTCGCTTTCCTGGCCTAATGTAAAAGTGGTAATATTATTTTTAGCATTTCCTGTATATGATCAACACGGTTATAATTCACTGTCACAGTTAGATTGCTGTTTTTTGGATACCAGACAATAATGTGCTTACTCTTCATGACGATTGAATGTGCTGATAATAGAACAAAAACTAAAGCCAATTTCCAAAAATCCAAGTAATCTTATTTTAAAGCAAAATTTTAAAACACTAACTTAAAATATTTTACTTTTATATTCAAGCTTGAAGCATTACTAAACTCAATTTAATAATACAAACTGCCTCCTTTTTAAGGGAAGTTACTCCAGCCAACATTATAAGAAAGCAAACAGGGCATCACACAAGAAAGATGACTGCATTTATTTTAGTATTTACTTCCACAGTCCATGCTTTGATAAATAAGCATGTTTATCTATGTCAGCATAGTAATGTAACTTATAAGAATAAAACATTCTGAATGTAATTTATTGGTTGCTTATCAGAGCAACTTTTCTTTCACATAGCATAAGCAGAAGATTTAACAATATGAAATACTGAGTTAACCTTTTGCAAAAAGGCACTGAGTTGAATTCTATGGATCTTGGGTAAAAATAAATTGAATTTTGGGAAATGGCTACCAAGGATTTGACTTCATAATATCCCAAATGAGAAGTGATATAAAATAAAAATACAAGACATGAGTGGTTGAGACCTGTTATTTCTTAGACTTTTTAAAACTAAAAGTCAATATCATCAATAACTAAGCAGCTAGCAGAACAATGCAGGAGAATTCTAAATTGCAGTCTTCCTCAAAAATGACCAAGACCTGTCCTTCACAAGATCACAGGGTCTCCCCTCTGGATAAATTGAGCACTTGAACAGACCCATTAGCCCTTCAAGATATAAAGTATACAACTTGTAGAAGGAGATGCTTTGCTCATCAAATAATTCGGCCTTTAGCTCTCCCAATCATTATCAGCAGCATAATAATAATGTAATGGTGATTTAAGTGGCAGAAGAACAAAATTTGAAAAAATATATATAACTGCACTGAGTTTATTTGGTTTAAGGAAAGACAGAATATGATAAAATGTACATGAGATTAAATCAGAGCTATGTGTTACTACTGATTTGTCAGTTAATACTATTCTGGGAGGTTGCTAAAAAGACAAAAACAAGAACTGGAATTCTGCATTTGAACGTGCTTTGTATTATGTTAGAGAGCAAAAGAGCAACCTGTGCTGATTTTAGTCAGAGACCTTCAATTCATAAATAAAAGCATCGACCCTGGGCCCTAATACACTGAAACTTGGCTATCTGAGTTTGAATTCAACCACCGTAAATCACTTGATCAGTATGGACTGCTTCTAAAAATGTGGCTTTTTATTAGGACAATATTGGTTATCCAAATATAATCATGGCAAATAAAAATTTAAAAATTAAAATGAGACTAAGAATGTTTATATATATTCACAAATTATGTAACAGTGCCATAATTTCAATAATCTGCAATTACTTTGAAATGTACTATATATGTAGGAAATGGTCATTCTTCCATTTAATTTTATGCCCATTGCTGGTATTCCCACTAAACTATGGTCTTCTTGCCAACAACAACAACAACAACAACCGAAGGCTCTGCCTTTTATATGTATTCCTATTCCCACGATGGTTCCCGGGTGTAGGGATTTTTCTCTCCCTCCCACTCATTTTCCTGTCTGTTTCCCCTCCTGACATCTTCCCCCCCCAGTTGTAGCACTAGTATGATCCTTTAGTAAAATTTACAAGTTTAACATTCCGCTGCTTAAATACAGCATGGAATTGTAGGTCTACACAAAGATAGAAAATCTAGTATCATATTTGCCAAGGTCTATTTTACTGTTTCACTGGAGTCCACCTTTTATTAGGAAGTAGAGACGTGTACTGCAACATATCTTCACTTCCAGCTATGCTAGTTTCCATTATATAATTTATCATGAGAATATGTGTACCTATTTTTTCACCTGTACATCTATTTGTTTTATATTTGGCATTATATTTGTTTTATATTTTGAATGTTGTTTTATATATATCAGAGAGAACATGTATTTGTCCTTTTGGAATTAGCTTATTTCACAGAGCATACCGGTCACTCATAAAAACCATGTTTTTTTTTGCAAATGGCAGGATTTCATTCTTTGTGGTGGCTGTTTAGTATTCCATCAAACAGTTGTAGCACAGCTCCTTTATCCACTCCTCTTTCGATGGGCATCTGAAATGTTTCCATGTCTCTGCTGTTGTGACCTGCTGACTATGAATACAGGGCTGTACGTCACGTTCTCAGTGAGGATTTGACTCAATAAAATCTAAAACCACTTTAAGCTAAAAGCCCTAAACAAGATAGGCATAGAAAGAAATTCTACAACACAATCAATGCAATATATGAAAAACCCAATGCCAGCATCATACTGAATGAAGAAAAATTCACAGCTTTTCAAAAAAGATCTGGAACTAGAAAAGGATGTCCTCTTTCACCACTGCTATTCAACATATTAGTGGAAGTCCTTGCTAGACAGTTTAGGAAAAAAGA